GGACATATCTGAAGTATGCATACATATAAACATACATACAGCTTAGTCTTACGTAACTTCTTTGTGAGGCAAATAAATCACCATGACTGAATCAAAAACATTTCAAGGCAAACGCGAGAGATATTAATAAATATTTTTATCTAATAATTAGGGTGTTAGATTATTCGACTTTTTTCCAAAACTGGTTTTCGAATTATCCGAAAAAAATTGCAGTTTGAAAAAACCGGTTCCCGATTTTGAAATAAAACAAGTAAGAATGTCTAAGTTCGGGCGGAGCCGAACATTAAATACCCGGCGCAAGTATTAAATATATGTTTTCCACCTTTCCGAAAGCTACCGCTACATGATAAGCCGGGGTGTATACATTTTAAGTAAATTAGCGTCCTTAAATTTCGAAATATTGAAATTTCAAGCATTTCTGAAATTTACCGTTATATGAAGAGCGGCCTCAATTTTAGTCCGATTGCAACAATTTTCAACGGTTTGCTTTTATGTGGCAAGCACAATAACCATACCGAGCTTGGTACAAATTGCTAGAACGGTTAGCGAGATACATATATGTGATCACAAGTGGGCGGTGCTACGCCCATTTTCCAAAATTTTGTCATAAACATATTTCTTGGTAAAGAGTTGTTGCAACCATCAATTTTGAATAAATTACCTTTAATATTTATTGATTTATCGAAGATTTTGTATTTCTCGAAATTACCGTTATATGGGATGTGGGCGTGGTTATTGTCCGATTTTGGACATTTTCGGCCATTTGGTATGCTGTACCAGGACCAACAACTGTGCTAAGTTTGGAAGAAATTGGTGTAGCGGTTACCAAGATATACACATGTAACCATAAGTGGGCGTGGCTACGCCCATTTGCCAAAATTTTGTAATATTCTTATTTTTCGTCTAAAACTCATTGCAAATATTAATTTTGAGTGAATTATCTTCAGTAGTTACTAAAATATCGTAGTTTTCGTTTTTCTGAAAATTACCGTTATATGGGAGGTAGGCGTGGTTATTGTCCGATTTTTAAAATTTTCAGCCATTTAGTATGCTGTACTAAGGCCAGCAACTGTGCCAAGTTTGGAAGAAATTGGTGTAGCGGTTACCAAGATATACACATGTAACCATAAGTGGGCGTGGCTACGCCCATTTTCCAAAAATTTATAAAATTCATGTTTTCCGTCTGAAACTCATTGTAAGTATCAATTTTGAGTGAATTATCTTCAGTAGTTACTAAAATATCGCAGTTTTCGTATTTCTTAAAATTACCGTTATATGGGAGGTAGGCGTGGTTATTGTCCGATTTCGCCCATTTTCAATACCATCCGTCCTACGCCCAAAAGAAGTTCACGTACCAAGTTTCGTTAAGATATCTCAATTTTTACTCGAGTTATCGTGTGCACAGACGGACGGACGGACGGACGGACGGACAGACAGTCACCGCTTAATCGATTTCTCTTTTCATTCTGATCCTTTATGTATACATTTGTCTATATCTATCTCAATTCGTTTTGCCTGTTACAAACAACCGTTATGTGAACAAAGTTATAATACCCTTGTGCACAAGTGCGCTCGGGTATAAAAACCGGATAAACCGTTTCTATTTTACATAGTTTTCATACAGTAAAACAGTTTATGTTGGCATGAATCTATTGTTGTTGTCTTTTGTCTTCTAGGCTTTCTCATGACTTTATTCAGAATAATAACAGTGCACAAAGGACCATGATGTATTCCTAATGTAAAAACAAAAAATAATGTGTTCGAAACTTTTATACGTGCCGTGTATTACATTGATGCTTTCCTTATTAACGACCGCTGCTTTGCGAATGGAAGCATCCACTACAATGAGCATACACAGCGCTGGCGCTCCCACTAAGGTAAATATTTATTTGTGAATTAATAAAGAAAACAATAATAGACATACATATTCGTATATGCAAAAGTATGTATGTATGTATGTATGTATGCAAATGTATTTTGTACGAGGAATTTAATGAAGGTCTAGAGGAATCGCTCACCCTCTTGTTATTAGTTGCATTAAGAAACCCCAAAATTAAGCCAATTAAAAATCAGAGATCTGCGAAGGTGAGTATACCGGAAACGGACTCGGAATCGGAGTTGTAAGATTTAATTTATCGTAGTCACAACCGAAATCGGGAGCGAATTACAAGCGTGAGCGTAAAAAATTTTCAGCCCTTTAGCTGAATGGCAATAGGCATAGATAGCCGAGACCTTTTACAAAGTTGAAGGGAAGGTCCTTCAGAACTTCGTTAAAACGTCGATTTAAAATAGTTACAACCGGTATCAGAATCGGAGGTTCAATCGGAAGTTCCGACCTTTAAGAGTCGAAGTCGAAGGTCCGTAACATGTCTAATTCATATGACTTTTGAAGGAACTCAGCGGACCAACACACGGGCCTTTAGGGAGATTTTCAAAAAATGTCCGCAAACAAGCAAAGAACGGTTGGGAAACTTTTTTAATCCGCTGCGAAGAGTATTAGTTGGTAATGAGTCATCAAAATGCGTATATTTCAACTCTTTTTAAGGAGCTAGTAACTTTTAATGAAAGCTCTTCTTATAGAGATTGTCTATCACTGAGGATAAATAATCTGAAAAGCATCTTGTAAATGTTTGTAAAAGAAAACAATCAAAGTAGTTTTAAAACAGGAATTTTTTTATAAAATTCATAAATTTCGAACTTTTTCAGGGCATTTATTAAGCTTCAGGTAATTTTTACCGTCTGGCGTGATAGGCCGATCTTCCACTCAGCCGTCGATAATATACTCTTTAACAGAATTATAAACGAGAAACTGAGCAAAACCCTTTTTGGAGTTGGTTGTTTCTTCCAACAGGCTGAGAAGTTCTTAGAACGAAAAATGACACTGAAGATGGCACCACAACGAAACCGGTTTGTCTCCAAGCAAATTTTGTCAAGGGATGACGAAAATTCTTTCCAAAATACATCATTTTAATATTTGTTAATTTTTCTAAGTTTGTTGAACTCCTCTTGAATCCAAAATATGCGTGGACAAAAAAAAAGTTTACCCTTTTTTACTTATTTCTATTCTATTATTAGCTAAATTAATTAAAACTTATTAAAACGTTTCTAATATTTCTATTGCAGTTTCTAACACAACCTGGAGAAATAGCAGGTAAATTGCATACATTAAAACATGGTTCCATGCAAAACTGAAATATATTCAAGCTTTTAAATAACACTCCACAGGCATCAGCACCAATGTTACGTTACACGAAGAGGGCGACATTGTACAATTTCTAATTAGCTGGGATGACAACTTGCCAAAGGGTGAGTCTCATATTATTATTTTTTTAATGAAATTCGATATTGACTTTAAGTGCCCATATTACAGGTACATCATATAATGTTATTGTGACTGCATTAAATTCAACGGAATGTAGTGAGCCTCCCTGCAGTGTCTATGGAGTTATAAAAGTTAGTAAAAATAATTGTAATTTCTAATCTATTTGTGTTGCTATAAGCTTTCAGTGCATAAAACAAATTTTCGTACAAACGTGGCAGCACTTTCTTATCACGAAGAGCATAGAATATAGGGGATCTACAAACATAGCCAGCATCCTTATTTTCTATGATAATTGGTTAAGTTTTATTCTGTAAAACTTTTTTTCAAGGTTTCTATTATTATTTCTTAACTTTTTTTTTCTAAATGAAACGATTCTAACTTGAATTTACTGAAATTATAAAAATAATGCTAATTCCCTCAAAACAATCATGGATATGAAAAATACAAGCTGTAGCTACAGTGGCAAAAATATAAATACGGAAGAGACATTTTAGCATTCTTTGGCTATTGCCATTTCGATTATTTAATATTTTTTATTTTTATAAAAGTGTATCTCGTTATATAACAAAAACCATGTAAGTCAAACTTTGTACAAAAATTAGCAAAATTCGATACAGATTCATAAAAATTTTGAGCATTTCAATTAGATTTCTTAGAAAAATTTTGAGCATGTGATTTCTCAGCCCATTCAGTATAACAAAGTGCAAATTTTAAGTAGCTAGAACAAACCGCTGATTTTTGGTAAATGTTTTTTTGCGGAAGGTGTTGCTCATTTTCTGCATACAAAAAAAATTTCGAACATATTTTGTACGGAGAAAATGCGCAAACAAAAAATTGCCAAAAATCAACAAATTAAACAACATCGAACTTGCACCTTGTTATACTAAAATTTAATGGGCTACAAAACTGCATGCTCAAAAAAGTTCTAAAAACCTGATAAAAAAGTTTAAAATTAAAAAAAAATATTTGTGAACATTCGTCGATTTTTTTTTAATGTTCAACAAAGTTTGTAATTTTGTTTTACATGGTTTTTTAGATAGTAAGCTATATTTTCATTAAAAAACAATAAAAAGTTTTTAAACAAAGAAAAGTAGCCAAAACTTGCTAAAATGTCTTTTCCCTATTTACATTATCGCCACCGTATTTATTGTGTGTATGTATTTTTGTGATCATTTTTTCAAGTTTTTTACTCTTTGCTTTGTCCTAAATAAAACTGTATTAAAAGGTGCTATGTATTTTAATTCTAAAAACAAAATTTTTCCGATTAGGTCACCGTGCTTATATGGCGTCTTTGTACCGCATGTACTTTCGAGCTCAAAAAGGACTGAAAGAATACAATTATACCTACTTTTCCATCATTTGTTAGAATAATAATCTGTTAAATTTAAACGTAAAAAAAATATTCTTTTTTGAATTTTAACAACCACACAAATGTTTTCTATGCGGTTAATTAACCAATACCACGCTCCCCATTCTAACAAAAAGGGAGAAGAAAGTTTAAGACAAATTTAACGGCTGATATCTTGAAACCAAACTTTCAGTCACTCTGCCGCAATTTTTATTGAATTGTTATGACCTCGAAGATTTGAGCTCGAAATTACTTATAAAATGTATATCGTTTTCATTCCCAAATTGTAACTTTCTAAGTACATATATAAAATGTAAAGATTTCGCAAATATTCCACAATATTTAAGCCCCATTTTGCTAATTATTTTTATCTATAAAAATTTTATGTACGACTATTACACAAAATTTTGTTTTCATATTTACACAAAGGATGCGAAAAAAGTGATTGTACCAGAAAATCCTATGACACAAGTGGATCAAAATGAATGTGGTTTCATGTTTGGATGCAATTATTCCGTAATGGTGGAAACATCTAATACAGCGATATCACAACATTCGACAGTGTCGGTGCCATGTGAGTACACAATAAGATATATCGCACACCATCTTCAAAAGAGGCAAACTCAAAAATCAGATCCGAAAATATAACTGCATGTGGATGGTCAAGATTCAACGCAATTAATACAAAAAACTGGTATAACAGTAGTTTTTAGAGTTGTGTCCCTTTTGAAGAGGGTGTGCGATATATATAGTGGACTTCATTTATAAAAACTGAGCTTAAGCTCAGATTCAATTTTTACACTGATGAAGTGAGCTCAAGCTCAAGAATTTGCACTGAAAATCGAGTCGGAGCTTAAGCTCACTTTTTATGCATGAGGCCTAATGGCTTACGTATATGTAAACATACAGTAACTGAGTAACGTGTATGCACACATTTTTCTTAATAGATTGTATTAAGGATGTTTGTTCCTGTCGACATGCTGAAAAACTACCCAAAGTCACATCGTCCGTCCATATACCCAATAATGAAACGATAATTTACAATTGGTCAATAAGATATGAAAACGGCAGCAAACATTTCCAGTACGATGCAAAGGAATCAGATGATCACTGGAAGTTGTATTTAATGTGAGTTGCACTCCAAATTTTCAAAGACATACTTATCTATAGTAATGTATTAAAGTTAAAGTAAAACGATAAATCTGCATCGCTCCACGACGTTGAAACTTGGCAGGATCTAATAATTAAAACAAAAAAATAGATACTTTTTAAACTATGGTTCCAGTCACCATCACACAAATAAAAATATCTCTGAAATTCTCAAACGGCTTATCAAAGGTTTTATTAAAAGTTATGGCACTTTCATAAGCGAAGCATATCCTATCCATTAAGAGCAAAACGAGTCTCATGTATGTACATACATATGTATGGAGTTTCTCGCCCTGACGGCTAATCTGCCCTTACGTACTGGTAAGAAACGCAATGTAGCATGCCACTCTCAAATATTATTTTCTTCCTTCTGAAATATGTAAAACCTCTCCCGAATATGTAATGGAAATTGATAGTTCGCTGATCTAAATAAATAGAGTTAGATCGTCGCCGTTGGTCGTGTAAAGTTACGCTGATGAATGTTTAATATTAGCCTCTGGCAATTGCATTGAATACCTTTGTCAGAAAGTAAAAGGTTTTCTCTCAAATCTTTCTCGCTCCTTCCTTGTACGGAGTCTTATCCTCTCCCCAACAAAATTAGCAACAACTCTTTTCACCAGCTGGAAGAATGAGGTAAAGCTACAATAGACTTCCACGACTAGGGCACATCAATATCGACGGCAATTTGCGCTCTTTCTCTGCTCACCCAACAGCGATTGCCAATAAAGTGCGGAGCCGCCACAAGGCCTCAAATCGCTCGCTGGTAGCATTTGCTAAAAAAAAAAAATTGGAGGCAACGAGCAAGGCAATTGGTCGGCCTATTCTAAATTCCATTGCGCCTGTTTGGCTTGTTTTGGAGACTACTTAGTAAAACGCAGTGATTGAAGCTTCAGACTTGTCTCCACACCGCGGTCAGGCTGCACTATTTTATTATCAGCAAGCAATTCCCGCTCACCTACTACCGCAGGGAGCATGCGAACAGATACTTGCTGGAAGTATGCCCGTTCCAATATTTTGTCAGGAAAGAGTGAGACAACAGGCTGTCAAAATTCCTTGGACACTACTATTCACCCAAACGAAATTAGGGCTTTTTCCGTTTCCTTAGGTACTGGATACCAAGCTTTTAACTAAATAGTATACTTGTTTGGGAGCTTTGTAGCGTGTCTTGCATTGTATGTTTACTAACCTATTTCTTCTATAAATTAATTTCGCAGTATCAGCGAACAAACAAATCCGTCCTTATCATGGGGTGGAAGACTTATACCCATCACGGAGCATTTGTATCCAATTAAAAATTTAACGCTCCTTAAGACCAAGGGTGGCATGCAAGGCACCTTTAAAATGCGAATACCCAAGCAATTAGTATCTAAGGCAGAGCTAAAACTTCGTTCATATGTAATCGATGATTTACATTGCGGCGGACCTGAAAACTTCATAAAGGTAACAGGTAAAAGATAATCACACCGACTAAATGATAATAAAGTACATACACTTGTATTTCTCTTATTTTTATTCTTGTAGTGCCCGATTTCTTAAAAGAATACGAAAATATTGAGGCTAGTGATTTTAATTTGGTAAGTGTATTGGCCGTGAGAGTTCTGGTACAGCCATTCAATTGTTCATATGTATTTCTAAATATTTCCACAGGGCATTGCGTTAAGTATTGTCAGTGCACTTTTTCTATGCATCATTGTTTTGGTATTGACAATTTGTTGTTGGAAGCGAAATAAATTGGCGAAATTTCAAAATGGCGTTTTGGAAAAGGACGAAAGCTGCTTAGCAAACATGGTCGAGTAAGTAATCATTATTATACGAGTAATTACAAAATTACTTATTTACAGGGCAACACTGGCTAAGTAAGTAAAAAGTCTTAAGACAAATGAAACACAGATGGCAAGACAGTTCGAAAGACTTTTGTTGTTCTAGCATTAGAGCATCGTACAGTTTCATAAGTAACGTAACTCGTCTTACCATTTTTTCTGGCAAATATTGCTAGGAAAAAAATTTGTCCGTGGCAACACTGAGTCGTAGTGAACATGTATTTTGAGATACTGTCGCAATGGCCCTATGAGCAGAGCATTAGCGTGCGATTCGAGAGATCCAAGTTCGAGTCCTGGAGCCCAGGAATATTTTTTTTTTATTTTTATACCTTTCATGAGCATGAAATGGTATTATAACTTTGGTCCGATGTTTGTAAGTACCAGAATAAGAAGAGATAGATAGACCCATTAAAATGTATACTTAAATGATCAGCACGTCGAGCTGAGTCGATTTAGCCATGTCCGTCTGTCCGTCTGTCTGTCTGTCTGTCTGTCCGTCTGTTTGTATGCAATCTAGTCTCTCAGTTTTCGAGATATCCGGATGAAATTTGGCAGGTGGGTGTATTTTTATAATGTATTAATTATTTGTCTGAACCGGAAGAATCGGACCACTATAACATATAGCTCCCATACAACTGATTGTTCAGATATGAGATTTTTCGTTATAACTTCTCCATTTATGGAGCTAAGAACATGAAATTTTGCAATACTTGCACCTATTATCAAGAGAGAACTTAGAGTGAAAATTACAATGATCGGGTCACTATAAGGTACTACTGATTGTTCAGATATAAGATTTTTCTTTATAACTTCTCCATTTAAGTAGATATTAAAATGAAATTCTGAACTGTTGTCACTCATTATCAAAAGAATACTTTCAGAGAAAATGGCGAAGATCGGGTCGCTATAACCTATAGCCCCCATACAACTGATTGTTCGGATATGAGATTTTTTGCCATAACTTCTCCATTTATGCAGCTAGGAACATGAAAATTCTCACCGTTTTCACTCATTGTTAACAAAATATTTACAGTGAAAATAACAAAGATCGGGTCACTATAACATACATCTCCCATTCAACTGATTGTTCAGTTATGAGAATTTTCGTTATGACTCCTCGATTTAGGTAGCTAGGAACATGAAATTTTACAATACATCCAATGATTATCAACAGAATTCTTACAGTGAAAATAACAAAGATCGGGTGACTTTGACATCTAGCTCCCATACAACTGATTGTTCAGATATGAGATTCTTTGTTATAACTTCTAAATATATGCAGCCAGAAACATGAAATTTCGCACTATTTTCACTCATTATCAACAGATAGTTTACAGTAAACTTAACAAAGATCGGGTCACTGTAACTTATATATTGCCTCCATATAACTGATTGTTCAGATGTTGTTAATGTAAAACTAATTTATTTGTACTGCTGAAACCGATAATTTCGTAAGCTATTGTATAAATAATAATACAAAGTCTACTGAGAAAATTGCCAAAATCTATGCTGTATAAGCCTTATCTCGTATACCATTGATTGTTTCTATACCAGTTTTTGCGTAATATCTCCTTTATGTAGGAGGCTAAACCCATTAAATTGTGTTACCGGTTTACATACCGATCACACAGCAGTGAAAATCACTTTGATTGGTGCTATATAAGGTATGTCTTCCATACCTCTGATTGTTTAGATAAGATTTTTTATATATGTATCTCCTCTATCTATGTATGTGTGCTGTGAATATATAAATTTTTTCAAATGCTTTAATCTGTTAAAGTAAAGTTTTCAGATGTTCATGAAAGGTATGAAGCCTTAGGCATAGCCGAAGACAGCGCTGCTCTTACTTGTTTTAATAAATTTTTTTCTTTTTTGATTTAATTTTCTTTCAATTTGAAGATAGCATTTCATTAAATGTTTTACTCTTATTTTTTGTCTTTTTTTTAAATATTTTGTATTATTTTTTTCCAAATTAATTTTTTTTTTTAGTTTTTAGATATCCAACCTTCTAATTGCTCTCGCTTTTGTTTAATACATTTGTTTCTTTTCTTTTTTTGAACTAAAAATAAAATATTTCCTTAAATTTTTAGATTTTATTGTTTATAAAAGAAAGATATCTTTTTAATTTCATTTAATTTTTAGAAACTTATTTTTATTTATTTTTTCCTTTTTTGAGTTTAATTTATTTTTCTTCTGTCAATTTCTTTTGTTTTTATTTATTTTATTGTTTTAAGAAGAAAAATATATTTTTTTTATTTCATTTATTTTTGAAGCTCTTATGTTTTCGTTTTACTTTTTTTTTAATTTTTAGATCTTGCTTTAAAGTAAAAGTTTTCTTTTGTTTTTTTTTATGTATACATAAGTGCTAGTTTCTTCTTTTTTTACTTCTCTCTTTCTAATTTAGTTTTTAGATTTTATTGCTATCCAAAGATCTCGGTAGATCGATTTATATTTTGCCGATTTCTTCCAGCATCGATTATTTTTATTTCGATTCGAATCGATTCAAAAATCGATTTTTTTATTTCGATCATTTGCGCGAGCTGTTCCATCAATCGCAATGGCCGAATGAGCAAAGCATTTGGGAGATCCGAGGTTCAAATCATCAGCCAGCGGACTCTTTTTTTTTTTTAAATTATGCAAATTGTATCTATTTGTTTTAATTTAAATTATATTATTTTAGTAAATATTGTATGAGCACGTTCAATACGCATTTATATAAACATTTTCTTTTGTTTAACTTTTAGAATGGAGGACAACATTAACTATGTAGATAAATACGTAGAGGTAAAGAATTCCAAAGCATAAATGTTTATTTCCATAATACTTATCTTAGTAAAATAGGTTCTTTTGACCAGACCTTTTGTCATATGTGGCGGACTTTATGTTATAGTACATACATACATAAGTGGTTTTGGGATTTCAAAATTAAAAATGTCGGATCCAATGTCGCAGTCGACCCCAAAAAATCCCTGGAAACCAAAATTAAAGTAAATCCGTAAATTATAAAAAAATGCCTGCCACATAAAACCCGCCGGGGTTTTCGAGGTTGAAAAAAAATTTGACATGATATAGCAACTTCGGTATGGCCAAAAGAACCATTAAACGATTTTTTTTGTGGTCCTGTTGTATTATTCTAAATTTAACCTTATT